CACATTCACAGGCGAGTGCGCGTGTGTGTATGTGTGTATGTGTGTATGTGTGTATGCATGTATGTGTGTATGCATGTATGTGTGTGTATGCATGTATGTGTGTGTATGCATGTATGTGTGTGTATGCATGTATGTGTGTGTATGCATGTATGTGTGTGTATGTATGTATGTATGTGTATGTATGTATGTGTGCGGCGGCGCGGCGGCACCCGCACCTCCTCCAGCTGCGAGCTCCCCGCACTGCTCCAGAACTGCGCCAGGGTGAGCTCCAGGGTGGCAGCGCCACACACCTGCAGACTGCTCAGGTACTCGCTGCCGCCCGACAACGTCACCTGACACCGACACACACCATCACCAACAGGGAAACGTCACCACCGGTCAGGAAACGAGAGGTCAGGAAAGCGGTCCACCGTCGCGAGCAAGGAAAAACCGCAACGAAAAAGGGCAGCTAACCGAAAAACCAACCAACCAACCATACATGAAAGGTATATAGGTTTTTAATACCTAAAAAAACATATTCCTCAGTTAGAAAAAAAACTTGTTATGTTATATATTACGTTGTTGTTGCTGTTCTTGGTACAGAGTGGGAGGCTTCTGGGCCACTTGAACACACACATTATATATTATGCGTTATATTATATTTTATGCAATGTAATGTAAACAACGAACTTGAAGCGAAAGGTGAGGGGGGGGGGCGTTTGGAGGGGGCCCCGGCGCCGGCGGCAGTCGTGTGATGCGGGAAGTAGTAAGTAATCAAGGAAGTAAGGAAATAGGAATATTGCGGGACGATATCCAAAGCAATGATCAAGGGGGGGGGGCAATGATGACGAGGCGCATGATGAGGGGCATTAATACACACACATATATACAAGAAACGCTACGTAAGCGCGGGAGAGAGAGAGAGAGAGAGAGAGAGAGAGAGAGAGAGAGAGACAGAGAGGGTGGCGGGAAATCCAAAAAGGGGAAATACAGGTGGGCGCTCAAGACACGGCGCAAAGGATAACTCATGGTCAATGTCGCGCGAAAACAACAAGGGCCACATTTCTGAAGGGTGTCTCGTACAGCAGCAGCAGCAGCAGCAGTACAGGTAATCAATCGCCGCCAAAAGGGAAAAGGTAAAATAAAAAAGAAATGTGTTTCCTCCCTTTCCTCCTCAAAAAATACAGGAAATCCAAATGGCGGCGTCCAAATTAGGCAATGCATGACCCCATCAGGGTCTCACCTGAGTCCTCAGTTCATGTTGCCTGTACGAGCTCTCGGCTCGCAACTGTGTGCCGCGAATGAGGAACAATTTGGGGGTGTCGTACGGCCCGGCACGCAGCGTCAGCTCGGCCCACGTGGCACCGGGCGGTACGGCAATGAAGCTCCTGGCCACGGGTCGATGGGGTCGATGGCAATGTGGGGATGAGGGTGGTGAGGGGTGGTGAGGGGTGGGGGGGTGGGCGTGGGTGTTTGGGGTGAGGAGGTGGAAGTGGAGGATGGATGCGGCTTCAGGGGGGCACACGTGGGGTGAAGGGCCGGGCGAGGAGAGGCTGGCAGGTTCGGGGGTGAGGGGGAAAATGAAGTTAACGCATACACATACACGCACCACCCCCACTACCACCCCCACTACCACCCACCCATTCACCCACTCGCTTACCTGTGCTCAGCTCCAGGCGTGAAGCTTAACGGTCCCAACGACACGGTGCCAACACCATTACCGTTACCGTTGCCGTTACCAGTAACCGGATTACCGTTAACGCCGGTGGCTGACGTCACCGCCAGAGGCACCTGCAGGTTCGTTATGACGCAAGTCTTTCTGTTAGCGCCATGACAAGTAGCAGGGGATGTGGGAGGTGTGTATGTACGAGGGTATGTATGTGTGTTGGGGTGGGGGGGAGACACATCGCCAAATAGAAGCGACAACACTTCTCTCACCCGCCCCTCCTCCTGCTCCTCTTCATCTTTACCTTCATCTTACCCCCTCCCCCCACCCCACCCACATACACACAGACACACACAGACACACCTGTATTGGCTTGACGAGTGTGACTGGGACTCTGAAAAGCGGACCTCGCTCCGGAGCCCCCACCTCCGTGGCCAGAACCTCCCCGTAGTGAAGTCCCGGGGGAAGCGCGGTGGGGTCCACGAGCACCTGGAAAAAGGTGTATATGTATGTATGTATGTATGTATGTATGTATGTATGTATGTATGTATGTATGTATGTATGTATGTATGTATGTATGTATGTATGTATGTATGTATGTATGTATGTATGTATGTATGTATGTATGTATGTATGTATGTATGTATGTATGTATGTATGTATGTATGTATGTATGTATGTATGTATGTATGATGTGTGAAACAGGGGGGTGTATCTTCGCCCGTGGCAGCTACCCTGCGAAACCCTGCCTTCCCCGGTATTTCGGGGCACCCTCATCCAGTCACCCTAGTCAACTTCTCAGTGGATCGCTCAGGTTCCGCACCCACCACCAGCATCCAACGGAATCTGCCGGGTCGACAGCGGCGCAACTCCATTCCTGGTCGGCTCGCAGGTTAACTTTATCCCAGGTCACCACCGTCCATCAACTAGGGGCGCAATGCCTTCCACCATCGGAAGGACTTTTGACCCTAAGGGGTATCGATCCCGGGATCTCCCGGGGGCAATGGTCGCGCCTTACCAGTGGTGCCAAACCCTAGTATATATAGTATGTATGTATGTATGTATGTATGTATGTATGTATGTATGTATGTATGTGTGTATGTGTGCGTATATGTGTGTATGTATGTATGCGTATATGTATGTATATGTATATGCATGCGTATATGCGTGTAAGTACGTGTGTGTTTTGGCGAATGACGGGGGTTGAAATGGAAAGGGCAGAAACGAACGAAACTGTATGGGGGCGGGGGGGAATCAGGTGTCGCATCAGCTGCAGCCAGTGCTGAAAGCTAAGCTAAGATGTCAAAGAGAGTAGACGAACGAACATCATTCAATATATGGATATACATACGGATGCGGACGTTAACGTGGGCGACATGTAACACGTAAAACGCACTTCCCTTTCAACCTCCCCCCCCCAAATCACCCGGCCCCCCAAAAACACACACGCACACACACACACACATTCTCCCCCCATTAGTTCTGCTTCTCTTTCCTTGGCAGAGCAGCTTCACTCGCTCTCGTGGTTTGTCTTTCCCCCCCCCCCATTACCCCCTCACCTCAAAGGAGCGCCCCGCCGAATGCACCATCAGCGCGGGGGGGCAGCTGACCCAGGCGACAGTCGACTCCAGGGAAAGGCGGTCCTCCACGTCCAGGCGGGAGGAGTTGGCGGCGTCCTAGGGAGGCGGCGGTTGGAAGTTGCAGTTATTGAGGTGGTTTTTTGCAGTTGGGGAACCAGCAGGAGCAGCAACAACATATCCCCTCAGTGCAGTGAACCCAAAACGGGGATGTGCCCACGAACATCGCCATTTTGCGCCCATGGCCATTTTGCGTGGTGGGGGGGGGCCCTTGCGGAGAAATGATGTGCCACAACGAGAGGGAATAAAGTCCCATCCTGGACGGTCGAGCTTTCTTTCAGGGGGAGATTGCAAAAGCTGCGGTGTGTTTTGCTATGTATTGAGTGTTGGGGAGGCAAAATTATGTCAGACCCTCGTCGTAAATTTCTGGCCCAAATTCGCGGGGCCGGGGCAGGGTCGGAAAAGAAAAACCGTGCATGGACGTGCGGATGAATCACGTGTTGATGAGAATGACATGATACGAAAGGGGGAATGTGTCGCACCACGGCTTCAGTAAAGTAGTACCGATCTCGGAGGATGTCAGATTCCGGGATATGTAGAGCATGTAGAGCATGTAGAATACTACAGAATACTACATGGGGGCGGGAGGAAAGGGGGGAAGGAGGGGCGACCCATACACACCCTAGACCCCCACGCCCTATATTCCCCCCCCCTTCCCGCGCATACAGACAAAACCCCACATCTTCCCCCCGTTACCCCCCTACCCCCCTTCCCCCCGTTACCCCCCTTCCCCCCTTCCCCCCGTTACCCATCCTCCTCCCCCCCGCCCCCCCGCCTCTCACCTCCCGTAACCGGGGTGTTACGGTGATCCGGTAGCTCTGCACCTTGGCCGTCTCATGGGGCTCGCGCAGGTAGATGCCGCGACCCTTCGGTCCACGACCCTCCGTACATGCAGCCTCCACCTCGTACCAGGGGCCCGTACACGCCGCACCCGAGGGGGGGGAGGGGGCGGGGGAAGGGGAAGCGGCCGCCGGCGGCGCAGCAGCAGCAGCAGCAGCAGTCGAGTAGTAGTCGCGCATCAGGTAATCCCACGCGGCCTCGATCTGTGAGTCGTACATACACACACACACACACACAGGCCGCGTCCATGCCACCACACACACACCCGCACATACACACACAGAGGAGGAAGCATGCAGACAGGTAGTTAGGCAGGCAGTGCGTAGGCGGGTAGGTAGAGCATGGTGGGTGTACGAGAATGGCGACGGGAAGGAGGGAGGTACGGGGGAAACGTAGGGGGCACACCGTGTGTGTGTGTATGTGGCACGAAGTCCGCAGCCAAATTTCCCCTCCCGCCACCCTTGATTCAAATGATCTCTGATCCCCCTGTTTCCTTCAAGAAAGGTACGACAGGAAGACGACATTCTTCACGTGTTCTTGTCAAACACACCAAACCCACCCCAAACTGGCCGTACACCCGCGACCCCTCCCCGCCGCCTCATCCACCTATTTCCCCCATTCCCAACCCACATCCCCTCCTTTCGTCCTACGCTTTGATAACCAGTTCACAAAAACCCCAAACCCCTAATTTTTTTCCCTCGAATTTTCTTACCCTATCCCACCCTATATATACCCCTCGCCCCTACCTCTCCCACCCACCATCCCGTGCCGCATGCGCAGCGCATTTACCTGGATAAGCCCCCTGCCGTACGTGAGTACGGCATCCGGTGCATCGCCACCCAGTGGCAGTGCCGTATTTTCCAGTGCTCGTCGTACACGGTGGGGTGCGATGACGGCTCCTCGAGCCAGCAGCCCCGACAGCAGCAGCGCGATACCGCCACAGGCGTTGGGGGAGGACATGGAGGTGCCGTTCATCAACTGCCGCCTCTGCGTGCGTATGTATGTATGTATGTATGTTGTTACAGGGTGGGTAAGCTTCACCAGCGGCCCCTGCTCTCCCATGCGAGAGGGTCACCCTAATCCGTCACCCCATCCGACTTCAGAATGTATTCGTTGGGTTCGGCAACTCACCACCAGCATCCAACCAAATCTAGCGGATCAACGGCGCATCAACTTAGTTCCTGGTCAGCTCGCAAGTTGATGTAATCACGTCCTATACCGTCCACAAGATGGGGGGCCACCTCCAATTCAACACCCCTCAGACACTTGAGGGGTCGGCAGGCGGATTTGAACCTGGAACCTCCGGGAGCAGAAGTCAGGCCTTAACCTCTGGCAGCCACCTGCCTATGTATGTATGTATGTATGTATGTATTTGAAACAGGGGGGTGTATCTTCGCCCGTGGCAGCTACCCTGCGAAACCCTGCCTTCCCCGGTATTTCGGGCCACCCTCATCCAGTCACCCTAGTCAACTTCTCAGTGGATCGCTCAGGTTCCGCACCCACCACCGGCATCCAACGGAATCTGCCGTATATGTATGTATGTATGCACGTGTGCGTGTGTATAGTGCTTAGCGTACGGCACACGCGGTTGTTAGGAACGTTATTTGAACGTAGTTTCCGCCCTTGTGCGAGGAGCGGCGTGTCAGGAACGGACACATCCCCCCCCACACACACACATGCATATATACAACCCCCACAACACCCGCACATACCCTCCCCCCCACCACACACACACACATGCATACATACCCCGCAAACAAACCCACACCCGCACCCTCCCTCAATCCCCCACATGACCCCCCCTCTCTCACCCCCCCACCCCCCCACATACCTGTAGAGTCCACTGGGGCACGGGCGCAATCGCCCCCCCTGGCGCCGAGAACGCAACCCCCACGGCGCCGTCCGGCGTGGGTCCCCTGGAGCTCCAGTTGTACTGCAGTCCCCTGGCGGGGGCCTCCAGCACGCTGTGTCCCGCCGCCGCCAGCTGAGGCGACACGAACGCCCCCACGCCGAACAGAGCCGAGCTAGTACCGCCTGGAGGAGTGTGAGTGTACGGGATGTACGAGATGTACGAGTGTACGGGATTAGAAATAGGGAGGGGGAACTCACATCCAAGAGATCAAACTAAAAAAAAAGGACGGGGAAAGCGGGGAAGGCGTGGGTGTGGGTGTGGGTGTGGGTGAGAGACGGGATAAGTGTGGGTGAGGGGGTGGCGTGGGGAAGGCGGGGGGAGATGGGAGGAGATGAATCACGAACGAGTGAAGAAGCTGCTGCAAAGACAGACAAAGAGAGACAAAGAGAGACAAAGAAAGGGCATGAGGGGCGGAGAAAATTCTATGGTAATGCACAACGCAATCGTCAAGCCGAACAGGGGCAACTGTCGACACACAAGCTCACCGGGCGCCCCCACAGTGCTGAGCGCGGGTCCCGCATTGCCTGCTGAGGCAACAAAGATGACGTTGTGGTTGCGAACCAACTCCGTGGCCAGACTGATGAACCTGCGCTTTCACGAGAGGCGCGGAGGGTGGTGGTGGTGGTGGTGGTGGTGGTGGTGAGAGTGCATAGAGGTGATTGATGCATACTGGGACAGGAGTAAGGTGCCGACACGCAAATGCGGGCGGAGGTGGAACAGGCCCCCCCCCCCCGCCCCTCTCCCCCAGAAACACCAACTTCCCCCGACGGATTAACCTCCCCCCTCCCCCCGTGCACACAAACATACAAACACACAAACTTACTTTAGATGCACACTCTCTCCCTCTCTCACATATACACTTTTCTCTCGCTCTCCGCTCCCCCCCCCACACTCACACATTCTCTCTCACACAAACAACCAAACAAACATACATACACACATACACACATACATACATACATACATACATACATACATACATACATACATACATACATACATACATACATACATACATACATACATACATACACCATACCTGCCCATGTTGGGAGTAGTTGTGGGCTCTCCATAGCTCATGTTGATGAGGTGGGCCCCTGGAGTGATCAGGAAGGCGGGCAGGCGGGCAGGCAGAGGGGGGCAAGGGGGTGTCCAAGGGGGGGGGGAGGACGAACCACGAACGAGTGAAGCTGCTGCCAGGGCAAGGGGGGGGAAACATATCTTTGAAATCCAATCAATCAACTCAGTTAACTAACTGCCGACACCAAAAGCAGGCATTGAGGGGGTTGGCGGGGAAGGGCGGGGGGCATGCAGGAATGCCGCGTGTGTGTATTTGAGCACCCTTGAGTATGTGATCGTGGGTGGGGACGTGGGACGTGGGGCGGTAGGTGTAGGTTTAGGTCGGGGTTACATACACACACGATCACATTGCCGCCTGCCATCCCCCCCCCCCCCACTACCGTCACAACTACCACCTTTCTCCCCGTCACCCCCCCCCCACCCCCTACTACCGTTCCCCCCCGCACACACACACATACACATACGCACACACGCACTCCCCCAGGCACCCACCGTGTTGCCTAGCAGCAATAAGGCCCCGCACCACCCCCGTGCCGGTCTCCATGGACCCCAGCCGCGTGTCGCCGATCTTGCAGCTGATGATCTGAGCACCTGCGGGACAGTGTTTTTTTTAGTAATATATTCCTTATAAGGAATAAAGAGGCCATTTTGGCCTTTGGGGGCGCCCCACACTTAAGGAATACATTACGGCGACCCTAGCAACTTTGTTACTTAGGTCGGAATAAATTGAGACCCCCCCTAAATGAAAAAAAATCACTGCTGCGGGAACGGGCGCGGGAGCGGGAGGGCACCAAGAGAGCAGGAGGAAGACGAGGATGATGAGCATGAGGAGGTGCAGCTTGCAGGGAGGGAGGGAAAGACGAACCACGAACGAGTGAAGCTGCTCCAAGGAGGGAGGGAGGGAGGTGGACAACAATATTTATTTTCGACACCGAGTGCCGTGTTGGGGGCCCGAGGGAAAGCGTTACATCGGGCGCTGTAGGTTGGAAGACCCGGAGGGACATGGCGAAACACACACGCACATACACGCACGGGTCGATGACGCCATCATACAATCGCTCAGACTCCCTCCCTGGGCAGTTTCGGACTCTTTGGACGCCTTCCGGCAGGCGGCTCATCTATCTAATTTCCTTGCACATGCATATGATTTCCACACACCCCCCCCACACACACACATCGCCCCCCCACCTCCCCACCCCCCACC